CCGACATAGCCCATGAGTAGCGCGTTTGGCTCGGAAGAGTTAGCATTGGGCAAAGTGATGTCATCTGCTTGACTGGAGTCAAACTTACAGCAAAGAGTTTTGTGGCCATGAGGCCACAGACTGTTCTGGGGTGAAGCAGGGGGCTGCGATTTCCCGCCGAGGTGTGGCATTGCAGAAAGCAGTTTCAGAGTAGTTGGGTCATAGAGTGGGAAGGTGACTGGTTTTTTTAGAAATTAGGTCGCTGATCTGGGAGGTGGTATCCTAGTCGCCTATTTCAGCTTCATAGCCTCTCTGTGTGTTTTGCTGAAGGACAGTCTTGAGATTACGGGTGCAAACTAAAGCTACGTGTTGCCTGGAATATGGCTGGCTCTTACGTTGGAGGATCATAGTTACGCTTGCTCTTTTTTTGTCTCTACCTGCTATAACAGAAGAATCGGAGGTGCCTAATAAGATCCTTTTCAAGCAGTAAGAGAAAAAGCTTGGATCTTCTGGTGCCTTCTGCATACACAGTGTAAGAAGTAAGTGTGATGTCACCTTTTTTGGTTGTCCTAGTAACAAGTTAGGCTGTTATTCAAGAGAATATGTACTGGGCTCTGTGGACGGGGCCGGTGGAAGAACTCTCACTTTTGGATATGAATGAATTGTAGCATGAATTGTTTGTTTCTATCAAGCCTGAATGCATCTGCATGTGGCCAAAACAGTGCCAGGGTATGGAGGCACAGCACTAGACTACAGCTAAGTGGGGTGGGGGGAGCTTGGCACTTGTGGGGGGGCGTGTGTGTAGACTGGATCTAGGTGAGAAAAATCAGTATTACAAGTAGGAACTATAGAAAAGCTTTGAGATTTACACCATCGATTCATGGGTTGCATGGAATAAGGCAGAAATCCCACTGAAGTAGTACTTTGGGCCTTGACTAATCTAAATGTATGATCCCATGTGGGGCAGAGGGGTGTAGCGATGGGCAAGTTGCTCAATCTAGGAGTAAATTTTCAATGGCCAATTTAAGCCCAAAGCTTTTTTTTTTCCTTTTTTTTTTTTTTTTTTTTTTAGGTAAGTAGTTGTAGTAGGTGTATGTGGAAGGAGGGGGTGCGGAATACTACTGCATTATCAGGCAGATATTCTAGCCTTGCGTACTCCCCTCTCTTCTTATAAGCAGTTGTACTTGAACTATATCCTCAGCCAACCCCACAAACCTCAAAGCCAAAACAAAGGAAAATCCATTGGTCAGTAGTAGGTACTTCGTAGTAGAACATCATTATGGTACCGACACATAGGTAGAACCCACACTGCGGTTGGGGGGGCTGCTGAGAGAGGACGAATTGTCTGGTACTTATCCATCAAGAGACTGGGCAGTAAAAATACCAATTGTATATTAGTAAATATACTAACTGAGCACTAGTGTAAACTGTGGAGGGTAGGTAGCTGTGAATGACCCCATCTCCGTAAAAGCACGGTGTAAAATGTGTAGTCTTCTTGCCTAGCCAGCAACTCAGAACAACCTGAGGTAGAAGAAAAGCTCCCAGAAAGATTTGCAATTATATTTCTAGGTGATGTGTTAATGAATGTATCAAGCTGATTGCTCAAGCAAGAATATCCGGTAATTAGCAGTTATGTCTGCGGTATGAGTCTTATGAGGCAGATAACCACTCTGAAGAACTGTGGTTCAGGCAGATCTCAGATTTCAGAACTGGCTCAACAGTACAATAAACCACTGCAAGAGAAGAGTCTGAGGAAAAATCTCGAGAGATGATCCAGAAAGGATGCTGCTGTCCCGTCTGAACTCAGTGGGTGAACTGCAGTAGCTGGGGTATATTAACCTGTTTGCTGGAGCAAGGAGAGTAGTGTCCCTGACATCAAACCATGGAAGTCAGTTGTACTATTTCCTACCACAATTAAACTGCAATCACAGTATGATAGGAAGAAGGTTTAAGAGTATTTTTCCTGCCTTTCTTTAATTCATACTGTTTAAAGTGCCGTTGCTTTTTCACTCTCATGGTAAAAAAAAAAAAAAGTGAAGTCGAGGCTGAAGTGTTTTACAGATGTCACTCCTGTAGCACTAACATTCTTTTTTTCTCATCAGTCTTCAATGCCTGTTTTCGTTGTACCTTGCTATAAGGGTACTGCAGCACTAGAGAAAAAGCGCAGCCTTTCTGTGCTGATCGAGTTTAGTTCATAACTGATGCTTTGTGAAAAGCACAGTTGGTGTTTGATAGCAGCTGATTTGCAAGGTCAAAAGAATCTATGGGTACTTAAAGAAACAAAACTTGGATGTGAAGGGCAGGTCTTTAGCCAAGTAGCTATTGAAAACCAGATAGAAGTGCTGACTTTTTTAATTATATAAAGAATCTTGTTACAATTCAGATGCTAGAGCTGGGCATGGGACTAAACAATCATTTGGGAGTGGAATTTCCTATTGTAAGACATATTTACAGAAAAGCCACAGGAGAATGGGATTTTACTACTAGTTAGGTTATTCTCTCTATTTAGGCATGAACGTGGCCTATCTCTGCATGAAACTTTGAGTTGTAAAATTTCAGTCTGTGCAGGAATACTGTGTTTTGATTTCAAAAGGAGCTCAGGATTATTCTGTGGGATTTATTCTGGAGAACAGAGCTGTTGTAAACACATGGGGTTAAGCTGCAGGAGTGCAATTTTTTTTTGCAGGAGAGGTCTCCTAGCATTACCTGGTGAAAACCATGCCTCAGAGGGCATTATCTGATTGTTGACAGCACTGAACAATTCTAGTCTCTTGGTCTACGGTAAAAGTGCAAAGTAGATGATATTTCAGGGACCTAAACTAATAAATCACTTACTGCTTCAAATTGTGAACAGGGCTTTGCAGAAATCATGTGAAAAGGAAATGGTAGGAAGAGAGTGATCTGTAAAACAACAGGAATAGGAAATCTGCCAATGTCAAAAGCTTTCTAGAGGCTTGGTCTTTGAGGGGAGAGTCGAGATTTACTGCTCTTCACATGGAAGAGACAGGAACGTCTGAGTTTGGTGGGTGGCTCTAGCTGCAGGGAAGGCATCTCTGATGAGGAGATGCGGGATTAGAGCTGGGAGGACAATGACTGTGCCTAGTTCCGTTGAATACAGGATTCCCTTCTCAAGAGGGGAAGGAAAACAAGTTAATCGTAGCCATGGGAAGGGTCACACCTGCCTCAGCTCTTGGAAGACTGCAGGAGGAACATGGACAAAGCACCAGGTCTTTGAGGGAAGCATCATCATGGTAAGCCAATCAGTGGCAGCACAGTCGAGGCTCCTTGACAGCAGTGGTTTGTCAACAGAGACAGAGCTCCCTTCTTTTTGCAAACTACAGTAATAAAGATTGTGCCTCTTGATCTGTGTGCCTTTGCTGTTACAGCTAGAACAGCCTGTAGCTCCTCTTCCTTCTTGAGAAAAGGCTCTACCTGCTGTGTTGATTGATTGAAGCTCACTGGAGACGGAGGAAGATTTAACACTGACTTGAGGGCTTCTCTTCGTAAGTTTAACTAGATAGATAGCCTTAGACCACATTGCAGAGTTTAGATTTGCGGAGGGAGAACACAAAGCAGGGAAACCCCTGCATTGTTGGGATGGCAGCGATGTTGTGACAGTCTAAAAGAATTGCTTTAATCAAAATTCTCCGAAGACAGGAAATCCTTCTGAGCCCTACCCAAACAAGCGGTGTTCTGCTGCTGTACGCAGCACTGCAGAGTCACTGCTGCAGGGCCATCCGCTGGGCTGGGCAGGTGCTGTAGTGCTTATTTCCAAAGTCCTCGGGGACTGAACAAGTATCTGCGGGTTCTGTAAGTTCGGTACCTACAGGTCATATCCCTGCTTCCCTCCCTCCAAAAAAAGTCTCGATCGCTGTGTATTTAAAAGCATTCTGGGACCGTGCTACAGGGTACAGAGGCACCGTTCTCCATGGGAATCCTCTTCCCATGCTCTTCAGAAGAAAAAAAAAAAAACCCTTTTGAGAATCCCACACTCAAAAGGAATACTGGTTTTATTATCCTTAGAATTGTTTACCTCTTTTTGTAACCTCAAGGCAATACGAGCAAACCTCCATTATCTATTTATGTGGTATGTGTATGTTTTTCCAACACCCAGTTTCTACTGTATCACTTGCAGGAAAATTTTAGAGTAATGAGAGGTGGAACTGCCCCAGCCATTTTCCACTGTGACAGGGGAAAATGCAACTATGTATTTGAAAGCCTTTATAAACCGTTTTAAAATAACAGCTAGGTGCATCAGAATGAACTTTTTTCATGTAAAAACAATTTAATAAATTAAAAATTTAATTAGATTATTAATTAAAATTTGATTAATTTAAATTACGTTTTAAAATGGAAGACTTTCAACTCAGAAAAGCCATTTCTGTACAAATGGAAATTTTTGTTGTTGAGGGTATTAAGCTTCAAAGACAGCAAGAACTGAGATTACCTGGAAAAGTACTTCTAGTTTTTCTTTAAAAAAGTAAAAGGGGCAGGGGAGGGATGAAAGTTTTGCTGATAGTCATTCTCCTTTTAGTCTCGGTCACTTGTCTCTGTGTGCCAAAGGAACAAGAAAATGAAAAAAAAAATGCTCAAAAGACAAATTAACAGCACAGAAAACTGTAATTACTTCGACACGTTAAACAACTGAAACATGTTCAGCAACAGAAACAAAAGTCATTTTCAAACTAACGGCATTTCAGTTATAGCTGTTCAAACAGCTTATTCCAAGAATGACGAATTCTGGTTATAAAATGCACCATTTGATAGATATTATGTAAATCGAGTGTGTAATATTTTTTGGTTCCAACTAGAATCAAATAAAAGGAAAATCCAAACCAGAGGGAGTGTGCTTCTCCTGCAGCGCAGAGCTGTTAGCCCCGTCACAGCTGAGGTGTCTGGCTTTATCACCAGCGTTGCTTTGGAAATGTGAACTGGTTTTGCAACAGTTTTCAAGCATGAATCCTGTTGTAAAGCAAAACTGTGTCCCTATCAACCTAAGTAACCTTTGCTCTGTGTCACAGGAATCATGTACCGCAAATCCTGCGCGTCCTCGGCAGCGTGTCTGATAGCCTCTGCTGGGTACCAGTCCTTTTGCTCTCCAGGGAAGGTGAACTCTGTTTGTATCAGCTGCTGCAACACTCCACTCTGCAACGGACCCCGGCCGAAGAAGAGGGGGAATTCTGGTGTGGTGCCAAGGGCGCACGTGACAACCACCGTTCTGCTCCTTAAATTGGCTCTGTTGTTTTTGTATTGCTAAACTTCAAGCAAGTTTTTTGCCCTGACACAGTTTGTTCTGTCTCCTCCTTTCTTCAAAGACACTGCAATTATATTCTGTTTGTTTCCAAATCCCTGTCAACAGCAAGGGACGATCAGTGGTTGTGGGGAGAGAGGGGCTGATATTTTTGGCAGCTAATGAATTCAGTTAGCAGATTGAATTTCCAGTGTGCACTTAAAAATCCCAGCAGCAGAATACAGAACTCCTGCTCTTTTTGCATAACTGGAAACAAATCCATCTGTGTTACTCCTTTTACGATGTAGTCAATTCCTCGGTCATTTTAATTTCCAAGTCTTTAAGTTCATTGCTAATCGTTAACTTTGCCTTATGAAGTCATACTTGATGTTCACAAAGGCCGTTCTGTGCGTCTGGACTGGGCTCGGAGCTAGTCCCTAGTGGCACTGCTTCCGAGCTGGGCTCTAGTGGTTCAAGACCTGGTTTCTGTGGACTGCGGTCAGGCTTGGTCTCATGCTGAAAAGTACTTAAGAAAACTTTGTTATTGCCCCTTGTAGAAGAACTGCGCCTGGACGAAATGAAGAGCAGCGGGCGCAGAGACCGGCTGCTCCTCGCGCTGGAGCTCAGGTTGGCTCTGAGAAACTTCTCCTTGTTGGCGTGCTGTATCGTCAGGCGGCAGCGGAGGACCTGGAGAAACACGCTGCGGAACTGCTGAGAAGAGATGTTGTACAGGAGGGGGTTCACCACCGAGCTGAGGTAGAAGAAGATGTCGGCGATGGGAAGAAGAGTGATGTATGCTCTGAAGTAGGGGACGGTCCAGTCCTGCTTTGGTTTAGCAGCAGCCATGATCCTTCTAACCTGGTTTGGCATCCAGCATATTGCCAGCGTGGCAACGATTAGCCCTGGGAACAGAAAGAGGAAGAAAGAGGTGTGCGTACATGGGGGAAAAACCATGAAATACTTAGGATCAGTTCTGCACTTACTTGTTAGGAAATAGTACCAATTTTTCAATGTTTTGCTTGACAGCTTTTTATGCCGGAAGCATTTTTTTGTTTGTTGTTTTTAATACCTGTTACAAGGTCATTGTGGCACATGCCCTGACAAAGGACTGCAGAGTGCTTAGATAGTGTTTCTTTGTACCTATTGTCATTTATTCGTTTTGAAAGCGTTCTTTCATTGATATCTGTATCCTTGGAAAGAATACATTTTTATTTTGGTTTGTGTTCTTACATTTCTTATGTCTTTCCCTTTACTTTGAAAAACAAACAAAATAAATAGAACCTATAGCCATATTAGATCAGGCAATACCCAGAAGAGATCAGATTCTTGTTTGTACTTTACAAAAAAGAAAATGTATGCGTAATAATATATTTCGTGTTATTTTTGGTAAATTTCCTCTTACAGAAGATATTTTTAAGTAAAAATATGTATCAATCTTTTTATGGTAATTAAGATACGTTGGGCTTTTTAAAAATCAAATTCCAGTGGAATTAAATTATGAATGTAAATGAGAAAAACCCAAGCCTAGTCATGAAAGTGTAAGCAGTTTCAGATTATAAATTATGCTTTAAAATGTGGTATCTGACCATTTTGTATTTATATGTAAATATAAATACATGTTGCTGCATCACTAATGGCATTAAAAAGAGGGTGACTTAAGTGTTGGATGTCTGAAAATTCTGCCTCTGCAGACCGGCGTTGACTGGGGTTGCAGCGCTGCTGCCGTCGTCGGAACGGCAGCCCTGGAGAAGCGTGTGGGTGCCCCTGAGCAGGCTCTGCTCCCGGGCAGGAGAGGGAGCAGGGGAAGGGCTCTCGGGTCCTCGCTGGCATCCGCCGCCACTAGTGCACGTAAGCGCTGGAAAGCCTGACATCTTGCGTGAAATTCCAGGTACACAAAGTAACTGCTCTCAGTGCTCCCCCCAGCAAGCCTTCCTTCTGAAACACAACACAGCCACCAGTTTACTGCTTCACTTTGTTTTGCTCTTTGCAGGAAACGTGCCTTATATGAACACTTAGAGGGAGCAGAAGTTGCAGGTTGGCTTCCCTGCTGCAGAGGCACAAACAGGAGAGTACCCTGATGAGGCACCACTTTCACTTCCACTAGACTTTTACTACATTGTTAATCTCCCCTAATGTCTAGGCTCCTTTCTCAGTAGAAGCACAGAAGTATTTTAATTGTCACCTGTCTAGACTGTCAGATTGCCCCCACTGAACAGATCACGGTAGGAACACAGTTCTGCAATACTGGACACTGGTTTGTCAAGCCAGGAAAATGACAATTCACTAGTGGGCAGACAGGAATGTAAGGGGGAAGGGGGGCAGAACAGAGAAGAAAGATTTTTCGTAACTTTGAAACTGCCAGGGCTTAAGCAGGGTATGGCCAAGTTCTCTCCACCACCACCCCTAAGCAAAGAAAAGGTATGAAATGTTTTGTTTTGTTTTGTTTTTTAAGAAATTAATTTTGTTAGTGAAAGCTATAATTACTTCAACATATTTATGATCTCACTGAATGAGTTGCCAAATAAAAATTGTCTTTTTGATCATTTGCTTCTGTAATCTCTTAATGTCACAGTGATTTTGGTAGGATGGGAAGCAGCGTACTTTAAACTTACAGCACTAGATTAAGAGCCCTGGAAGGCTGTTCTTAGTAGCAAGTGATGAAGCATTTCCCTTTGCCATTTGCTGTTCCTTAACCGCCGTAGCTCTCCTCACTCACGGCCTCTATTCTCAGTCCCGTTCCTACACAGTCCCTTCCCCTTTGCTGGGCTGCCCTGCTCTTCCCCTGCCGCCTTGCCTCACTTTTCAGTACCTGTTGCGGCTCTGTCAAAAGCTGAGCTGAATTGTTCTATTAGTCCTGCAACTTTTCTAGCTTTCAGTGCTTTTTTTTCTCCGCTGTCGGCATAACAAATACAGGGATCACACTCCTGGCACAGACCAGCAGCAAACAAGGCGCCCTGAGCCGTGACTTGTGATGGGCCATATGAACAAGGCAGCGAAGGGGGGTGGTGGTGGTTGTTGTTGTTGCTGTTGCTGCTGCTGCTGCGCTGTTGTGGCTTTTCCTCCTGTGCAACTGAAACTGCAAAGCCCACAAACGCAGGTCTGCAGAATTGTTCTCTCAAGGGAAAAGAAAATGAGCTGTACAGTGTAATTTTTTTGTTCTCAGTTAGAAACAGGATACTTCATCACGCTGGTTAATAGTTTCCTAGAGTATGAACGCTGCTGTGAAAAACTGTGAACAAACAGTGCGTGCATTCAGTTTTAAGGCTCAAATGCAGTGCTCCGAGATGTCTGATTTTTTTGCTTGTATCTGAATTCTTTACCATTGACCTTTCTTTTTAGTTCAAATTGCCAAATGCTTAAGGTTTCCCCGTACATTCTTCAGACACTTTTGTTCCGGGGAACTGAGTATTTCGTCACGTGTACGGCAAGTGAAAAATGAGCTGCCTGTGCCCTTGCACAGTGCGGTGAGGTTAGTCTTTTGGGGGGGTAGGAGATGTCTGTAAAACATTGTTGTTTTCCAGGATGAGCAACTGTTCATTTTTACACTTGGAAAAAAATGCTTGTTGATTCAAAGGAGTTGCACCGTGTAAATAAACATGCTGACAAGTTCACAATATTTTTTCCAACTGTTCACACTTGGCATGGTGGTACGAAGTAAACCGAAGCGCATCAGAAGGAAAGCTTTATGTTCAGACCTTAGCATGTTAAATATTTTGACTGAATCACTGCTGCCATCAATTTGAACTTGTACACAGGCCGTACAAGTTTGTGTTGTGCTGTGATGTGCAGAAGGTGCTTGAACAACATATCAGCTTGAATGTAAACCAAACTGCATCGTACACCAGTACTGATGCATTTTTCCCTTAAGCTTGCTGCCTGCTAGGAATTAAACTTCGCATTTCACCTCATATCCAGCTTTCCCTTCCACCCCTTCTTATTAAAGTGAAAAAAGTGAGTAGCTCCAATTATTTTTCCCCCCCTTTTTCCTGACTACTGTGCTGTAGTGACACACTAGATGAGAGCAGAGATTTATCTTCCATGGAATAATGATGTTTATAAACAAAGTAGTGCCATGGTCCGGTGATCTCCATTACTGGTGCTTGAAGTTTCCAACACACGTTTGAATCACTCGGTTTAATCATCAAAAGTGCATTAGCCCATGCCAACAGAAGCCAGGAGCCCCTGTGTTATCTAGGTGACTACGTGTAAGTGGATACACCTCAACCTTTAAGTGTTTGAGCTTACAATTCATTTAACATTGATGTAGATATTTCAAGGTACCAACAAAAAAAAAAAAAAAGGACATTAAAAGATCCTTGACTAAAACCACTTTATAAAGCCAAGCCTTAAACCAGCCACAAAATAGTTTACCCAAAATAGGAATTGCCACATTCAACTACTATTCTAATCTGAAAAAAAAACCAAAAAACCCACCCCAAACCTCTTTAAAAATAACACATACAAATTTAACAGTGATTTAAATTTGAGAATTGTTACCGTAACTTCCCAAAAGTGGATCTTGCAGTATTAATTCGTAGTATGTGACAAAGGCTCATTTATGTAGTAATAGAACCCTAGCATTTAAGTGCCAATAATATAAATATGCATTGCTGGCACAGAATAAGAGTTTGGCAGTCATCTGTCCCTTAGCAATACTTTTTTATTGCTCGGAACACTCCTCTGGGCCATAGCGGGCTGAATTAAATTCATTATGAACTTTATTGGGAAGGAATTTAAACACACGCAAATGGCTGGTAGAGTGGAGAGGCCTTCCTTCTCCACCCTCCCGCATTCTGCTTGTTCTTCTATTGAATATATTTTTGTCTTTTCTTTTTTCTGCACCTGAGCACTTAAATCTGTCTCCTTTTATAGTCCAACATTTCCCCTCTATCCTGGCCACTGCCAGCCGCCCCACAAAACTTGGAATTGTCTACAAAAACTATCATTGTTACTAGGAAATGCCAACAACCTGCTTTATTTGGCTGCCATAGCCCATTAACCGAGGCTGTTGGGGTGAGCCCATGTACATACCTGCTCCTCTGCCCATGTCACTTAACCCTGACCGCCCTGGTGCATCAAGGTCTGCTGGACTCTGCTGCTCCTCTCATCATAGTTAACCTAAGCAGCGTTACACCTCAAACTTTGCTTTTCTGTGAGTTAATTAATAGCACAAAGGCAGGTTCTCAACATCTGCTTGTAAACTGACATTTAAATGGCAATTGTCGGTGGAATATAAGCATATGGTTACTGAGTTATGAGTCAAGTGCAAGCAGTGATGCCGTTGGTTCAGAAGGAGACTTTTTTTTAGTGCTCATTTCACATTGGCATACTTAGCCTGACTATACTCAAAGGTATAACGTGACACTAATGTCCTATGCCTTAGTCACAAATTCTTCCAACCATGCATTGGAGGTACTGGCTCCCAAAAGAGGAAAATACTGAGACCATCCCTCATTATTCAGTTTACCATCATAAAGCAATACTAACCATGAGGAAAGCACTTGGTCCCGATTTGATTCTTCTACAAACGGCAAGCAGACTTTTTCACTAATCAGGTTCTTGATGGCCATAATATCAGTCACTACTAATTCAGGAGAATGAAAAAAAGGCAACGACTCCAGTACTAATTAAGAATGTTACTTTCAGGAAGTGGGCTTTTGGCATGTATTTATCTTATGTTTATTATTTTAACCAGGACTCAAAAATCTTGCTTTTCATTAGAAACAGGGACATAAGTTATTGGTTTATTGTCTTTCCAGCTTTTAAGAAAAAAAGTCAAGTCACAAAACACAGTCTTCAATCACTGAGATGACCTTCCCAACTGCAGATCAATGCAGTGCTGTCTTCCAGCATCCGCAGCTGCTCCGTGCCTCTGCTGCTGCAGTTGTCTGCATGTGAGCCGTCAGCTACCATATGCTTATTGTCTGCTGACAATTGTCCTTTAAATGTCAGTT